TGATGGTGTGTGTGTGAATGTGTGTGTGTGTGTGTGTGTGTGAAGTGTGTGTGTGTGTGTGTGTGTGTGAAGTGTGTGTGTGTGTGTGTGAAGTGTGTGTGTGTGTGAATGTGTGTGTGTGTGTCTGTGAATGTGTGTGTGAAGTAAGTGTGTGTGTGTAAGTGCAAGTGTAAGTGTAAGTGCAAGTGTAAGTGTAAGTGGAAGTGTAAGTGCAAGTGTAGCTGTAAGTGTAAGCGTGTGTGTGTGTGTGTGTCTGTCTGTCTGTGTGTGTGTGTGTGTGTGTCTGTCTGTCTGTGTGTCTGTGTGTCTGTGTGTCTGTGTGTCCGTGTGTCCGTGTGTCCGTGTGTCCGTGTGTCCGTGTGTCCGTGTGTCCGTGTGTCCGTGTGTCCGTGTGTCCGTGTGTCCGTGTGTCCGTGCGTCTGCGTGTCTGCTGTCTGCGTGTCTGTGTGTCTGTGGGTGTGTGTGTGGCTGTGTGGCTGTGTGGCTGTGTGGCTGTGTGGCTGTGTGGCTGTGTGTCTGTGTGTCTGTGTGTCTGTGTGTCTGTGTGGCTGTGTGCGTGTGCGTGTGCGCGCGCGTGCGCGCGTGCGTGCGCGTGTGCGTGCACTTGCGCGTGCACGCGCGCGCGCGCGCGTGCGCCTGTGCGTGTGCGTGCGCGCGCGTGGGTGTGGGTGTGGGGCGTGGGTCCATGGGTGTGTGTGTCTGTGTGTGTGTGTCTGGGAAAAGCCTATTACCAAGGTCGTAACGCAGCTGCCTCCGTTGTCATCGTGCTTTTCACCTTTTCATTTTCTACACGCACGCGCGTCAGGCCCAATGCACCTACCTGACGCAACGAAGCTACGGTGCATTAGGGGATGGGTGGTCTGATCAACCACCTGTACCTGCCTTCCAACAAGATGTAAAGTGCTGGTTGCGATGTTTAGGAAGTTGTTTCGTAACTTTATCTAGAGTGCACTCATGCGGGGTTCACGCAGGCTCTGCCTTGAAGTCTTCACCTCTGAAAGCTCGAGTGAGCAGAGGGAGGATTGCATGAGTGCGCTCTTGACGGTTTCTCGTTCAACGTGCCGTCTACGGTAGGGTTGCCTACTGCGTTGAACCCTGATTGGTTCAGAAAAGGCCTTATGATGAACCTTTCAGGCTCCGTCTTTACGCTTGGGACTCTGAAACAGTCCAACCCGACAGGAAAGCTGCGTTGATCACGCGCCCGTCAGGCTTGAGATTCGGCAAAGGTTCGGAACTCCGTTTTTGCTGCGATTTTCCAATTTATCCTCCCCATAAGCCTTTTTGAGGCCGGTCAGGTTCAAGTCCCCGTTGAGAAGCTAGCCAACTTCCCTCCATCATGTCCAGCTCATGGCGGAAACAATCAGAATGGGAACCTTCGTCACCAAGCCTAAGTTGTCTGACCACCTTCCATCCGACGACAAGTTCTTTGATCGGCAACCAGTCGGCAAAGGGTCGCATCAACTGCTTAATCGTCATGTTCAACCTACGGAATGGTCACGAAAGAGTTCGTTGGCCGGTCGGCCCGTAGAAAACATTCGAGTATGGGAACTCAGCCACCGTGGTCTTTCTGAGTTCTCCTTTCGTCTCCTTACTAAAGGCCGACACCAAGGAATTGTTTGGACAAGGTCCACATCCGAAGCAGTTTTTCTTTCCCATCTTTTGAAGGGAATGAGAGAAGTTGACAAGCAAAAGGATGCTTCCAAGTTCATGCGTAAAATGCGCGAATCCATTGTTGACGATCTCAAGAAAAGAGCACCTATTGTTGACTCTACTGCCAGTGAAGAGTTGGCCAGGACTAAAGCAAAGCTTGCCCAAGCGGGCCTTACACTTACTCCGACGAAGAGATCTGCTGAAGACGAGCCAGAGAATACACCAATTCGGGCGAAGCCGAAGGCTAAAGCCAAACAAGAAACTTGGGCAAAGCCGCTCTTCTTCACTCGATGCCCAGACGTTACTTCAGTTTCCTCCGGCTCAGATCGACCTGTTCATGCCCAAAGGTGCCCGTGCGGCGGCTAAACCAAACGAGCGACCGTCACATAGAGCGTCAAGCACTAAGAGCGACACGCATGGTTTTCGAGCATCACTATGAGCACCAGGTCGTTTTATGGTTTTTCTTTTCTTTTACTTCTCTTAAGCTCCGCTTGTCTCCTTCTGTTCCACGCTCCTCCGTTTGTCACGGGGCAGCTCGTTTCTTGTGATGGAGAATTGTGTCATCAGTGAAAAGTTGAAGCGACCCCTGCATGCGCTGAGGCTCCATTAATGCGAAGCATTGGCATTCTTGAGTTGTTTTCCCAAGAAGGATAGGAACCCATCGCCACCAGCGGCGGATCCTCATGGACGACCTTCCGAGCAGATTGGCAGAACTGCGCGATCATCTGAACCTTCCCTCCGTGCAGCTACGTCCTAAACCTGATGGACCCAAACCGGATGGCATTGGAATCTACGCTGCACAAGGTCTTCATAAAGTCGATCAACAGGCACCCGCACCGTCGACTTCCTTGCC